GTGGGTGGGAATTACCCCACTAATCTTGGGTTGGCAAACCTACTAGAAGAGATCATAGTTCTGCCAGCTGAACAGGGAGAGGACAGGCGCAGTAGTAACCAGATGGCAAACTAGTGGGCTGGCTATGGGGCACACCATGCAAGGAACTCACTCCTCACTCACTCAGGCTGGCTGGATCAAACCAGATGGGGGTGGAGCCAGGGTAAAAGGAAGTTATCTGGGAGAATGGAGAATGGAGAACCAGGAGGGTGTTATGCAGAAGGAACGACGCAGGAAGGATTCCGAAGCAAAAAGATTTTGGCCAAGGACTAATGGAGAGAACCAGGTGCACCTACGGTCTTCCCCCGAACACAACGCACCCTCATTTTGGCTGCATCTGGCCGGAAAGATAGCTTGTATACTTTCATTTGCAGGGTGCGTTATGTGGGAGCAGTTGATAAGATTACCGTCCCAAAAAACGGGCTTCTTTGCTTTGGTTGCAATCTCATCAGGCAGTCCCAGTGGGACAGGTGGCTGCGTAAGATAGGGATGAACGTAAAGCAAAGCCTGTGACCGGTTCAGTTCAATGGGTGTTCGAGACTCTGCATCATTTATGGTGGGCGTCCCCGAACTCTCGCAGATGGTGGGACTGCAGGTTCGCCCACTGGAAATTCTGGTCCGGTTCGAGATGATCCGGAAGGTCCGATTAGAGATGATTTTGCAGGAGAAGGTTGGGCTCTGCTAGGCACGATACCAGAAGGTACGTACGGCTGCGGATAGAGGATGGCGGCAGGGAGAAGGAGTAGGAGGGAAGGTCTCAGGGGAGAATAGATTAGTTTTCTCTAGCTGGTGGGACAAGTGGAACAGGTAGGGGAAGGGGTTTCTGGGCGAGGATTTGTCATCCTGACATCCTCATCTCAGGTTCAGTTAGATAGACGCCGAGCGATGGACACACTCTCTTTCGGGTTTGTGTGGTTTCAGGCCTTGTGAATGTTTTGTTTGAAGTAAATTCTGGTTTGTGCGGCTTTTTGTTGGGCCTCGTGGGGTCGTGTTTTTATGAACCAGGACACTACCCGTAGGTTCAGCTCAGGTCACACACAGTAAAAATTGTAGGCCATTCGAGGGAGGAGGGAGGAGAGTGTCACCAGAGCAAGTGGAACAAGAGTTTCCTCTTTTTTTTTTTTTTTTGGTGGAACAAGAGTTTCCAAACTCGAACCAATCGAATTGATTGGTGTCAGGCCGTACAAGGCCTGTGAAGGGGAGTAGATCAGGAGAGAGGGGAGGTGGTAGTCTGAGGTAGGATATAAAGGATATAAAGGATATAAAGGAGGACGGTAAGACAGGCAGTTGGACAATATGACAACGACATGGCTGATAGACAGTACTTGGAAGCAGACTTAAAAGTTAACAGGGTAAGGGGCTCGTTCAACACTCCTCGGGCCGTCCTCGGGCCCCGAGGATGATTCCTTGGAGTCGCCCGAGGAAATTCCCGCCTTCGTTCCACTCATCCTCGGAGTCGTCCCCCGAGGACGATTCCTCGGGGCTCCCGCGGCCAGATTTATATATCCACAAGTGGACGCGGGGGGGCGGGTGAGGGTGGTCCAGCGAGTTGTGTCCGTGCGGACGGCGTTGGTCCACCTCTGTTGGTCGTCGTGAATTCGAATCAATGCGGGAAACCAAAAAAAAAAAAAAAGAATACAAAAAAGGGGCCATTGGAAATGGCGCGCACGGCCACAGTTCAAAATTCAAAATTCGAAATCTTGCTCTGCGATTGGCGGCGCGTGATGGACGTACGTTGGGAGAATTCCCGCGGCGTAGCTTCGGTCACGAACGGCAGTGTGTCATTCGGAGAGACTGTGCCGCCTGAAATATTCGTATCTGCCGACCGTTGGGAGAATTCCCGCAGCGGCGCAGCGTGCCAAACGCGATGACGCGAGACGGCACCTTCTGGACGTCGGGGATGCCGGTAGGCCGCAAACGGTAACCGTTGGGGATGAACCCCGTGAAGCCGAACGTTGGCGGCCCAACATGACCGTGTAGACGCAGGCAGGACCACCAATGGACCAGACGGGATCGAAAAATGTCGTCGAGGGAGCTGCCGTCGACGCCCCGATTCTTCCGGATGCTCGACCTCCAAGGGACCTCGGGAGGTCCCTTGGGAAAATCGCCAAAATGGCTGTAGCCCTGAGGAATCCCCGAGGAATCCCCGAGGAAATGTTTTCACATCTTCTTTTCCAAATCTTCCCCGAGGATGAGTGGAACGACGATTTCCTTGGGGAATTTCGGGCCCCGAGGAGTGTCGAATGAGCCCCTAATAAGATTCTCCAGCCCTGATGGCTGTAAAAAAAGGGGGAGAAAAAAAAAGGAAAAAAAATAATAATAAAAAAAAATAAAATAAAAAATAAAGCCCTGATGGGTGTAAGCGAAACTGGCTAATGCTGCTGGAATAACTCCGGGTTGAATTGTGTGGTCCCCCACCTCAAGTTCTTTATCGTAATGAAAATTATGAAATGCATGGTCATTTACAACCAAAAAAAAAAACAAAAAAAAACCAACTCTTTTTTCCCTTTCTTTCAGCTTTTTTTTTGAAGAAATTTTAACTTTCAAGTCAACCTTTGACTTTATTGTTGAAATTGTGTGAGTTAAATTTTGTTTTCTTCTTTGAGCTGTGAAGCTGAGTGAGTATTCAATTCACAGCTTCACAGCTCAAAGAAGGAAACAAAATTTAACTCACACAATTTCACAGCTCCTGGCATTTTTTTTTTGCAGAATTGCAGCAAGTACGGGTGAAACACGGGGCCTCGCTGCACCAGTCACCAAATGCAGAAAAGACAAAAAAAAATGGAGGTGTATCTTTCCATGTTCTTGCGGCAGATTCATTCTCAGTTTTCACATTTGGCGAGTTGTGCAGCCAGGTGATGGCATATTGAGATTCTGTCTGGAAGCCATATCCTTATGAAAACCACCCTTTTTTTTTTTTTTTTTTTTTTTTTTGAAACCCCCCCCCATGTATTCCTGCCACCTGCGGCATGTGCCAAACAACATCTTTCTTGCGGCACCACTCACCATATGCAGAGAAAACAAAAAAAATATGGCGGTGTATCTTTCCACGTTCTTGAGGCAGATTCATTCTCGGTTTGCACATTCGGTGAATGTTGCGCCGAGGGCCATGACATAACTGAGATTCTGTCTGGAAGCCATATCCTTATGAAAAACCACCTTTTTCCCCCCCTCATGTATTCCTGCAACCTGGGCTATGTGCCAAACAACAACTTTCTCAGGGCATACTCACACTAGGATTTTTTGACTTATTTATGGATGTAATTGCGGTCAGATGCATCCAGGTATGGCCGTAAATGTGGCCAGATACATTTAAGATATAGCTGGTTTGAGTATGCCCTCAGAAATGTGAGAGACCAACGGGGCTAGCTCAGTTGGTACACCCAGCAACTGTTGAAATATGAATCACACCCAAGTTCGAATCCAGATAAAATCAGATGACCAGAATCAAATCATTCTGAATTACCTGGGGCCTATGATATCTCAAGGCCGTCACTCTTTGAAAAAAAAAAAAAAAAAAAAAAAAAAAACGTGAGAGATCCAAGTTCACTGGTGGTGGTTTGTCCGTCCGACTCCGATGTGATTTGTTCCCGTCCTCCTTCAAATAGAAGACATGGTCATTGGGCCTCGCTGCACTACGCTAGACACATGAAAATTTTCAAGAGTTCGTCTAGCGCTGTCAGACTCCTGGATTGGCATCAAGTGCTGTCGTCGCTGCACTTACTTTGGACTCTCGACTCTCATGAGCATTCTTGACTGTAGGACAAAACTGAACAGACACTACACGACAGGCAGTGGCGCTTTGTCCATCGAGACTGGAGGCCAACTCTCTTGAATTTGCAAACCGCATGGAGGGTCCGTTCGGCCTCGTTTGAAAAAAAACGCCCCTGCAGGCGGGAACTGTGGAAGCTTCAAGAGCTCGTCCGATGGGCCGTTTCTGCCACCTCTTGAAGCGCCAGACCAAGAGCACTTTTCCACAGTTAGTGCGGAGGTGACTCACTCTCGACGTTTTCGAGACTCTGAGCGAATCTGACAGCTCTTGAATGGAATTTCAGGACGCGGCATCAAGAGTTAGTGCAGTGGTGATGAACTCTTGATTTCTCAAGATTCAGGAGTCGTGCAGCTCTTGAATGGAATTTCAGGACGCGGCATCAAGAGTTAGTGCAGCGGTGATGAACTCTTGATTTCTCAAGATTCAGGAGAGGTGCAGCGAGGCCCATTATCCGCGCTATGTCTCGCGCCTTTACAAGTGACAAGGGGACACTCTTATCTCCATCACATTGGCATCATAAAAAAATGGCTGTATGTGGCTTGAAAATTGCATCCAATACATTTGATGTTCATGTTTGATGGTGGTGATGCAGTCAACGCTAGAGGCAAAAAAATTCGGAAAACTGAGAATACGCTTCGGCGTTATCTCTTCTAAGTTCTCACTGCTGGAGACATGAGGACTGTCAGCACCCGAATAGAACGTACAGTCATTATTGCTGTATCTAGACTCAAAGTTGCCCCAGATACAGCAATAACGACGACTGTACAAAGGAAGGAAGGAAGGAAGGAAGGAAGGAAGGAAG